TAGGGATGAAAATATGAAAGCATGAGAATACCTGTTATATGATTTATTAGCATGATCCTATCTGTAAGCATGAATTGCTTGTTAAGTTATTTGAGAAGTTTATATGCTGATGAATTTAAGTGAACAGTCTTATATATATATATTAGCATGCCAGCTGATGTAATAGGGTGCAAGTATCTAGAAAGTATGTGTTAGATCTAAAGATGATTTGAGATGAGTTAATTGTTTATAAAGAAATCAAATGTTTTCAAAGTAAATGCTAGAATGCTTTACATGGTTGAGTGTGGTTATACTTAGCTTCATGCTAACGGGTGTTTTCCTATTTGTCCATGTGTTGCTTGCAAAACCCCTTTCAGGTGGGCCCAGCAATGAGAAGAGATCGAGTTAGATTAGTCACTTAGTTTGAGATGTCTAAACTCTAGTTTTATTGATGATCATGTTATGGATTTTAGACTTTTTGACTCTATGTTTTTTAGGATGATGTTGACTTTTGGGGTGACGTTTTCCCCCCTTATGTTTCCAGTATTTTATTTGGATGCCAGATTTTTATCTTATTTATAGTATTACCCCTTAGCCTGTGCAATCACCACGGAGTGGTGGTTGTGGCGGTGACACTCTCACTAATTATCTTATAGTTATTTCCTCTGCTTAGTGATGTTAATGACTGTTTAGAGTTATAATTAAGAGTTAGAAAAAGTGAGGTGTTACACCTGTGTCGAGCCATTCTGGGAAGGGTAGGTGAGCAGTCATTGAATAGAAAGATGGAAATATCATATTCCAAACTACAGAGGCTGCCGGACAATCTCGAATAACATGCTGGGTGTCCTCAATTATATTAATGCATCGAATACAATTAGCGCAGGTTGTTTAGCCACGCTTGAATCTGTTGTTGTTTGTCAAAATTCTATCATGCTTGACTAACCACATGAAGGTGATGATTTTTTTTGGCACCTTCAATTTCCAAACGTTTTTCCATTTAGATGGCTCTATCCTGTTCGGCAAACCCAAGGCTAAATCATAAGCTGACTTGACAGAGAACTCGCCGGATGGTTCATATCTCCAACCAATCGAATCTTTGTCCCCCTCAATGTTGTTGACAGTAATTGCTGCCAATTTGTCCAGGTAATATACCGGGATCAGGTAATCAAACAGATCCCATCGCCATCCATGGTCTGAATCCCAGTATGAAGCAACTGTTCTGTAGAGTTCTGGGAGAGGAATGGGCTCAGAAAGAACATTCCTAAGCGGGCCTTCGTCAATCCAGCTATCGATCCAGAACAGGGTATTCTCACCGTTCAGTATTACCTTTTTAATTCCTTTCTGCAAAATAGGAGTGGACTTTAGAATTCCCCTCTAAATTGGGGACATGATCCTCTTTGGTTGCCACAGTGAACAATCCTCACTAGTGATTGAGTATTTAGCTCTCATTAGTCTTACCCATAGCCTTTCCTCATTTTGAAGGATCCTCCAACCAAGCTTTGCTAGAAAGGCTTGATTAATTTCCTCCATTCGACGGATACCCAACCCACCTTTGGATTTGCTTAGTGTAACTGTCTGCCAGTTAACCAGGTGAACCTTTCTTGAATCATTCGAACTCTCCCATAAGAAATTGCGTATCAGCTTCTCCATGGAACTAATGATACCAGTAGGAAGGGCATGGTCTGCATAGAATAATATGGAATAGCGGATAGGACTGATTGAGCCATGATTTGGCGGCCAGCTAGTGACAAAGTTCTGGATCTCCATCCAGTCAGCTTTGCTTGCATCCTTTCTAGTATATTTGCAAAAGATTGCGTTGTTAACCTGCCATGTATAGACGGCATCCCCAAGTATCTACCCAGATCCTCCACTCTTTGAAAGCCAATCATGTCAGTAATAGTCTGTTGGAGCGTGGTAGATGTGTTTTTAGAAAAAAAGGCTGAAGACTTGTGCAGATTGACTTTCTGCCCTGACCATCCACAGAAATCGTCTAGGCATTTCTTCATCGCCTTTGCTTGGTTGATCGTAGCTTCCCCGAACAATACCATATCATCCGCAAAGAAGAGGTGGGTGATGTGAGGGCCATCTCTAGTTACATTAATTCCTTTCCAGGTCCTTGCATTAACAGAAAAGTTAATCAAATGACTGAGTCTCTCTAAACATAAAACAAAGATAAGGGGTGATATGGGGTCTCCCTGTCGAATTCCTTTCACAGGCCAAAACCAATTAGAGACACCTCCATTCTAGTTGATAGCGAGTCTAGACGTAGTTACACAGGCCATGATGTTTTTTCTCCATTGATCATTTAGTCCAATATCTTGTAATGTGTCATTGATAAAGCTCCAGGCCAATTTGTCGTATGCTTTCTCCAAATCAACTTTGAGAACCATCCATCCAACATGGCCTTTCTTGTTCTTCATATTGTACACTGCTGGAAATCTCGCGTTTTTCGTCCAACATTTCCGTCCAACCGTAAGTTGGTCGGTATTTTAACAAAAAATTCAACTTTATGTCACTAAAGATGGGTGGACAAAAAGTTGGTCAGACTTTTTGTCCAACGCGCGAGTGTTGGACAGAATTTCCGTCGAACAGGCGAGTGTTGGTCGGAATTTTCGTCCGACCTGTGATGTTGGTTGGTAAACCTGAATTGACCGATAGGTAGAAATTAAAAATAGGTATTTCAATTTCCGTCCAACAACAATATTGGACGGAAATTTAAATATTTTAGCTAAAAAATAAAGGAATACTAGAATAGTGGACACTAAATAGAGAAGCGGGAATATAATTTGGATGGAAAAAATATTGGCAAAAGAGAACTTAGCAAAAATTCCCGCTTCCATCATCTCTGTTAAGGAATAGTCTCCAGCAAAATTAGGGCTTCTTCTATTGCCTCTAACCAATCCCTTCCAGCAAAAATTTCCCGCTTCCCCTCGCCATTCACTCCATTTTTGACGACGCCTTTCCGCCCTGCCTTCTCCATTTTCGCTGCCCTTCCTCCGCTCACGACGACAGCCGACAGTGCCTGAGACCATTCCGACGACACCGCCCCCTCGCCATTCACTCCATTTACGAAGACGTCTAAAACCACAGCCGACCGTCATTTCCTCTCCATTTCCGCCGCCGTCGTTCCTCCGTCGGAGCTCCCTCACTCGCCACCGCCACGACCCCGGAGCTGCCGGTTCCACTCCGCGACCTGTAAGTCTATTTATTTATTTTATTTGTAATTTGTTTCAATTTTTTAAATTTATTTCAGATATTAGTCTCTATTGTCGATTCCTCCCCGCAACGTCTGGTGCAATGTGGATTGTCTGGTGGTAGTTTTGATTCGGAGAGGTATCTTATTGGATGCCTTTGTCAATTTGAGTAGTCTGAATTATTATCTATTCTATGTTGGATGTCAATTTAAACCTCAATTCTAGCCAGTTGAACTTGAGTAGTCTAAATTATTATAACTAAAGCAGTGTTTTATGTTTTATGCATAACTAAACATAAAACATAGTAGAACTGTGTGTGTGAACAAAATAGTAACTAAAGCAGCAATTGTGCATTTTATTTCTGCTGCATATATTCAAGATATCACACTCCTTATAGATAACCTAGACTGCTAGGTGGTGCAGTATGTATATATAAAATGTAGGAAGATTATAATTTTTTAGTTAGTGATTGATTGGGATATCAGAAGTTCAGAACCATGTGGTGTTGTTGGTAGGTGAGAACAATCAACTTTCTTTCTTCTCAACATATTTAGATTTGAGAAGTCCCAGGATGTAGTGTGTTAGTTCTTTTAATCATTCAAATTCACAGATTTTTATTTTCTTTTACTTCAATTCAAAAATTGAAATTTTGAGATAACATTATAGATACTTTTAAGTGTGTTAAACTTAGCAGTTTAAAAAAGAAAAGTATAAATTATAAAGTTCTGTTCGAAGCAGGTGTTGTAAACTACCACTCTCCTCCATTTTGCATGAGCTTTATCTTACAAGGCAGTGATTAGGTTGTTCCCATATACATGTTTAGTTGCATTAGAATATTGTGTACTAGTGTGTCTTGACAAAATTTACTAGCTTTTTGAATTCATATTTTTAATGCTTTGTTACCTATTTCATCTAGCCGCTATAGAAATCCTGATTTATGTCTAAACTTTTCTTATCAATTATCAGCAATGTTGGCTTGCAAACTGTATGTTTCGTGAAGCAGCTGCTATAAAGATCCAAAAGCTTTTGTTGGTAAAGTACCTCACTACTGTTGTATGCAGGCTTGTTTCCGCTGCCACATAGATTATGCATATTACAAAAGTCTTCTGAGGGCTTCACTTATTACTGAATGTATGTAGGATTCGCTCTATGAAATTTAGTTCAATAACTTTATAGTTAGTGTATTGCACTTGACTAATGTTTTTCCTGTGATCAATAAATGCAGACTGAGTTATCCAAGAGCGAGAGGCGCACGGAAGGCAATAGAAGAAGCTCCTCCTGTAATTAAGGAGACCCCGGTCATAGTTCAAGACACAGAATACATAGTATGGATTAATCTACTCCACATTAATCTTTTCTTGCATGTATGTTTGATGTTACTATTTCTTACTGTGTTCCACATTAATCTTTTCTGATTTATGTTAGTCGTTGCTTTCTTATGATCTCCACACAGTGATCCTTGCGTGCATCATTGCCTTTAGAACAGGAAATTTTGGAGTAATATGCATATCCAATTGTCCCATAAATTGCTTTTGTTTCTTCATATTACTAGATAGTACAAATGTAATCCTAAGGTAGAAGTTGTTGGGTCATGAATGAGATATAGCAAATATTTTGCTAACAAGGTCAATAATCATTAATATGCAGTACTGAGTGAGTCTCTTTAATAGTATGTTCTAGTGCTTTGATATTCATATCGTTGAACTATCTTTAAAGTCAATGTGTGAGAAGTGAGTGGTCCAGTTGTACTTGTGGATTATCCACTCCAACTTACTTTATGGATTATCATTTGACAGTCGTGTTTCTTTCTCAGGCACTGAGATTCATTGAGACAGCAAGAGCTAGGATTGAGAAAGCTAGGGACAACTGCTTGACTTTTGATCATTAGCAACTCTCAGAGCTCTTCTTGGCGAGAACACGGTATGAATTTGTGTTCTATTTTTGAAATTAGGATGAATATTTACTGATGTACACACTTGGCAAATGGTTTATTGTACAACTAATAATTGTTCATCACTATATTTTAAACTTAAAAACTCAGTTCTGATGTTTATTATTTGGCTTAATACACTCAATATATGTGCATTTGACTATGTGATATTCCATTTGTCTTAATACACTCAACACATGTGATTAACTAGAAACAGTGGTGGAGAAGTGTAGAAAGTTTTGCAGAACTTACATTCATCTATACCATCAAGAAAGTAAGGTCATTTTTGCTAGAAATCACTTTAGAAATGCATGAGAAAAATGTTTATTTGATCAAAGCCATCATCTTAAATTAGTTGCATTTGCAGGTATACCCATCATCTACACTTGATCAAAGTCATTGAAGTAGAAGGCTGCGGATGTTGCATTGATCACAGTCATAGAAGAAGTGCCGGATTTGAAGGCTTATTTGTGTGCATCGAGCATACTTAAGTAGTATATATTTTTGTTGTATGGTATTTATAGTCTATTGTTGGAAGCATTATGAACATGACTATTTTTGTTGTAAATATTTTTTATGTTTAAATATATTTTTAATTTGAAATTTAGTGTGTTCAATAATTTGTTACGTTGATGACATATAATTTATTAACAATATGTATAAATAAAATTATGGTAATATAAAAATAATAAAAACATTCCATATGATTTATAATTTTCCTACCAACAGTTGGAAGGAAAATAACAAAATATAATATGTGATTTTTCTGTCCAACGCACGTAGTTAGACGGAATTTCCGACCAAAACATGTATTTGGACGAAAATTCCCACGTTTTAAGAATGGTGGGTTATTGTCTGGAATTTCTGTCCAATTTTATATGTTGGACGGAATTTCCGACCAAAAAGTGGAGTTGGACGAAATTTCCGACAAGCGTTTTTCCGAACGTTCAATTTGGTCGGTATGTTGGACGGAAACCTCGTTTCCGACCAATATATCGCGTTTTCCGTCCAATGAATGTTGGACGGAGATTTCCAGCCGTGGTACTTTGATCTATAATTAAAAAATTTATTTAACTCTTATTCCAAATAAATATTTATCAGTGATCCACATTGCAATATAGATCATGGTCTATAGTATAATTTGCCAGACTAGCTTTCCTTCGTAAACTTTAAGGCTTCTTTCGGCAATTTATATCCTACACCACGGCGCGCGTTGCACTATGCGCCCAGATGTAAAACGACGTCGTTTTAATTATTATTTTTTTTTTAAATTTCCCGCCCCAGTGAATGGCAATAGTTTTTTCTTAAAAAAAAAAAAAACCGCTGTTCAAGAATGTACATAATGTTATACTAGAATACACATAATGTTATACATGAATGTACATAATTATATAACAAAATATACATACTCTTTTTAAAAGATAATACACATAATCTAACATAATACATAATAAACATAAACTTTTAACATAATACACATCAACTTTTAACATAATACACACAAATTTTCTGATTCGGATGTACATAATTGTATAAAAAGAATGTACATAATTGTATAAAAATACACATAACTGTATGAATCAATACACATAACGTTGTGAACAAATACACATAACGTTGTGAATAAATACACATAATCTCAGCAACTTCTTATCGCGCCTCCCAACACTACGTCGTTTTGGGAGGCGCGCGGCGCACAGTGCTATGTGCGCCGTGGTGTAGGATATAACGATTGGCTTCTTTCTGTTTATTCTTCATTTACTATTTACTGAAAATGAACCCCCAATTTTATTGCCTCGATAAAGCCCATTTAGTAAATTGGATCCAACTAAACCTGGACCGACCCATCTCTAATGGGCCTCACCTTAAGAAAACTATCACTTTTCTTTGCATAATACGGAGTAACATTTTTCCTTTTACCTTTTACCATATTTATACCGTGAACCAGAGTTAACGTAGTAAGATAGATCTTGATATACGTTTATTTTAAATATTATTGTGGTTCATTTTTAATTTTAATTCATTTTTTACTCTCTTTTACAATAACGTGCTCTAATAATTCACAAAAGTGAGACAATATTAGCATTTTTTTAATTCTCCAATAAAATTAAGAGATGTGACAAAATTTACACCCTCCAAGTACATTTATCATTGTAGTTTTTATTTTTCAAACTTGGTTAAAGTCAATCCAATATTCTAATTGACTCATTAGTCAATACTCTCAATAGTCATCCATAAAATATAAATATAAATATATGTTACGGCTCGCATAGACAGCTTAGTTGGTCACATAGGTAATGTTTGAGAACAATAACTCGAAATTAAGTTTTACGCGCCAGTGTATGAACAACCTCTCAAAGTGAGGGAGACTCATTGCGTTTTAACATTAGCTATTAATTTCAACTTTCACCTGTTATGAATTGTGTTTGGTCTCTCAGATTTTTTAAATTGTAAATTTGATTTAAAAGGTCTAATTATGAGTTTTCACTTAGTCACTTTTACCAAATTTTGCTTCACTTCGATCATACAAGAGTATTTTGAACTGGATTTGATTATTTTAAAAAATTGAAAAATCAAAAGTTATTAAATTAATATTTAATGATCAAAAGTTTAAATACCAATATAATCAAGTGAGTAGAAGTAAAGTTAATTCATGTAAAACCTCTCCTTTTTTTTTCCAAGCTGATTTGTTTTAGTTTGATACCAAAATTAAGTTTTTTTTTTTTTTGAAATACTCATAATTCTTTACAAGGTAGTATCTTTTTTATACTTTCTCAAATATTTTCAACACAAAGAATCTAAGCCCCACCACCGGAGGTCGAACCTATGACCATCCATTTAAATGGATAACCGGGATGCCACAATCGGGGATCTAAGTGCACTATAATAGGGTTGGTGTCGGGCAAATTATGCTATGGAACCGTGTCCACCTTGTAAGGTTGGCATAGTTCCACAACGGCGTCGTGTTCGTTGAAAACGACGTCGTTCTAATTAAAAATATATATATTTCACTTGTTGTTAACGACGTTTCTCTCTTCGCAATCGCACAGTTTAGAAATTATGAATCTACTGTATTTAAATTATGAATCTACAGTATAAAAATTATTAATCTACAGTATAGAAATTATGGATGTTAACGGTGTCACTAACGACACCATTACTCAACCACATGAAAACGTCGTCGTTTGGAACAATGTCCACCTTACAAGGTGGGCATGGTTCCACAGCATAACGATGGTTGGTGTCGTCCCTATGGACTTGTCTTGTTGTTTCACTTGTTTGGAATTGGAGTTTTAACCGTTTACGCTCTCTTCTTTGAATAAAACAAAAACAAAACAAAACGAACCAAAAAACGATTTTAGTACATTAATTAAATATATTGCCTACTCAATTATTACTCTATATAAATTTTCACTTTTAATTATGTGTAAGGTGGTAGTTTTAATCCATCATTAACAAATTCTATTAAGGGTTCATCTGGAAACCTGAAAAATGTTTTATGAAAAATGCTTTTTAAGAAATAGCTCAGTTTTCGAAAAATATTTTAATTTTCTAGTGTTTGGCTGAATGAATTATTGTGTGGACCATGGTCCACACAATGTTACGTGGACCATAACAAAAAAGTACATTTTAATATATTAAATGTACATCATATTTGTACTGAAAGTACATTATACAATATAATGTACACTCAGTACAAAAATAATGTATAACCCCTGAATATAATGTACATTATTTTTGTACTAAATGTACATTATTTTACAGTATACAAAATATGGTCCACACAATAATGATTGATGTCAAACTATCTTTTCTGTTTGGTTGAAAACTAATAAATTGCATTTTTTCTGTTTAGTTCGTTTTCCTGAAAATAAACATATTATTTGTAATAATAATAATAATAATAATAATAATAATAATAATAATAATGATAATAGGAGCCATAATTAAGTTCAATAGATTATATACAACTCAAGATTACAACTCAATTGTTGGTTCTTTGAATTCAGTGGCCTAATTGTATTATCATGTGCAGGTCGATGGCCTATTTGACCCTTATTCCTAATATTATAATAATAATAATAATAATAATAATAATATTTATGTGTTCTTTTATTTTGTTATATACCAAATAACAATTATTAAAAATTATATACATTATTATTTAAAATTTAGAATACACTTCATTGTTGAGCATGACGTTTTGCGCAAAACGCGTGTCCACGACTAATGTATGTATACAGATTACAAACATACACGTAAGGAAAATATCTGTAGAGAGGGGGATATGGTTGCCAAAATGGTTTTTGGGCTAAATTTTAGGAATAAATTCATTTGGGCTATGTATGTTGGGTTTGGATTACAAGTGGTAATTGAGCTAGTCTAGAGATAAAATGTGGATTGGACAAAGAAATATTGGCTTAGAATTATTTTGGCTCTAACATAATCATTGGACTTAAAGAATTAAAAAAAAAAAAAATTGGGCTAAATCATAGTAGGAATAAAAATAATTTATTTTCGGAAACTGAATTTGGAAAAAATATTTTGGGTTGTCACAAATGGCTTGGCTTGCCCTCTGGTCACATTACACTAACAATGAACACATTACTCTTTACTGGCAAATTATATCATGCACAACGGTGCATGATCAATCATGCACCGCGCGTCCTTTTTTTAAATGAAAAGAAACGGTGTTTGTTTTTCGCCGTTTCGTACCTTTTTGCAAAAAGTAACCATGTTATTCAGTGTCATTTTGTATACACTGCAGTTTCAGTTCAACACAACTACAGTTTCATTTCGATATAACTATAGTTTCATTCGATATTTATAGACTCAAATATGTGAAAATGTTATTTAATTTTATTTTATATACACCATAGTTTCATTAAAACACTACTACATGATCATTTTGATATAATTACAGCTTTATTGTACAATATACACTCAAATATGTGAAATGTTATTCAATTTCATTTTATATACACTGCAGTTTCATTTCACTATAACTACAGTATCATTTTGATATAACTGCAATGTCGGTTTAGATATACCGTAGTGTCAGTTGGTGTTTAATACACCAAACAAGCGGACTCCGTTAACTATAACGGCGGGCCGTTTCTTTACTTAAAGAAACGGCGCCGTTTTTGACCGCGGTGCACATGCACTGCGGTTTATGATATAACGACTGCTCTCTACTATATTGGGCCTTGTTACTTGTCTCAGGAAAATTTTAAATTTAAAGGAAAAAATTAGGTATTTTTACAAAACATTCTTTATATCAAAATCCTTCCTTAACTAGCTTAGCTTTATGTGTTTTTACTTATTTTAATGTTAAATGGAGAAAAAAATACGCTTTGTTACTTGTCTCAAGAAGATTTTAAATTTAAAGGAAAAAATTAGGTATTTTTTAAAC